CATCGGAGGGGGGGGGGGGAGGTCAGCTTAACTGCTTGCTGACGAGGCATCTCAGTTAAAGATAAAAAGTGATTAATTAACATTTTAATAATTCAATCTAAGGTTTGATCTAAAACTTTGCTCTCTAAAATTGTGTGGATGCATTTTAATTTTACCAGCGAGCAAATTGCTAATTATTTTGTAACTAGGCAACAGGATTTATCATGAATACAGATCGCTTTTTATAGAGACAACTTATGGATAAAGAAACTCAAATGACAGTTTGATGACTTTCAAATTTTATTTTAAAAATTTAAAATGAGAAGTTAGACTTTATGGATACCAAAAAGGTGATCTTAAAATTGCTGCTGATAACTTAGGCATAAGTTTATAAGTAGTACTTATTCAAAACGAGAACCGGGGGGTCATTAAACGTCAGATTTGGTTTCTTGGACAGCAGAGTTTCCTATCGGAGTAGGTGAAAGCAGTGATGATAAAGCAGATGCATTGCATCAAGGAAGACTTACCAGCCTGGATAGGATCGAAAAAAACGCCCTTATTGACTCTTTAAGTGTCAAGATCTTTCTGTACTGATTGACAGGCTGGGTGAACGCCCCCCAACCCCCCCTTTATGCCTTCATGTAGGTTTGTAGGTAAAGCCTGTTTCCTGCCTGACTGGCCACCCTAGGGGACCCAATTATTCGCTGGAAGTTGGTTACTTGTTAAAGGTCAAGAGATAATGGGTGAGATCTATCTTGACGATTCGACTCGAAGGAATGTGTAAGAAAGAGCTCGGCTCTAGAGGACCACAGAGGTCCAACTGGTCATCCAGTCGGGTAGGGGTGTCAGATACCCGGAACCTAACCTCAGGGACGAAAACATGGACAGTCTAAAAATAGTTGCCTGCGTTTCATGGTTACCTCAGATGGCAGACTTGTTAAGGCAGCCAGAAATGCCAGATTTGCGGATAAAAGTGAACCATGGTAACACATTGATGTCTGTCTCTGAATAGAGACGGTGGCTGTGAATTGTTACAAAACCTACGCCAAAAGATACAATGCGGATACTTCAGATTCCACATTCTGTGCTTTGACCTTGCGACATGGCCTTCTGAATGCGTCTGGAAGTTGTTTGCTAGCTTCTATAAATACAAGTAAAAAATATTTCTCCCCCAGAATACCCCATTCTGTAGTGTGCCCATTTCGCATGCATTTTATGTTAAACCAATGCGGGGACTAAAAGGACATCAAACATTTGGGCGTCTTTTGGATCTCCAATATATAAAATTGTGGTTCAGCCCAACTAATGGGGGAAATTGCCTCCAGAAATTCATATTTTTGGAAATAATCTGGACGAATGAAAGGAAGCAATGGGTACATAGTAAAACTTGAAATTAGATTCCACCTTTCTTGTTAATAATGAAGCAAAATTTGATTTTGGAGTCAATCTATTATGAGCACTTGTTTAAATGCGTTCTTATGAGGTACCAGGCAGGTGCTTCGGACCAAGCACCTGACTGAGAAAACGTTGTCGATTTTCGAGGTGGAGCCGGAGGGGGAGGAGGAGGAGGAGAACCCTAATTTTTCCAAGAAGCTTTGATCATCTCTACATCCTTAGACTGCTATAGTACTGTTGAGAATATCTTCCCTTAGCTAGTCCCCGTGATATAAGAGTATGATACTATCGTTTAGTCCTCAGCGAGGGAATGAGATTGACAATGGATCGTAGGGGACAACCAGTGATGTGTTATTAAGTGAAAGAAGTGAAAGACAAATTCGTAATTGGAAGAATTTTTGTGAACCGCCATTCACATTTCGTATAAGGTTAATTTTTCTTGGGCAGATTAGGTGTTGTCAACCCCCTTACTTAAATCCCTCTTCCACAATCAAGAGTTGATGGTCCTCCCAAAAGTGCCCAAGCTCTGGCGGTGTGTTCTGTCACCATGCCTTACTTAAATACATGGCTTGTAGAGCTTTGGTTAATTTCATCAACCAGACAAAATCGAGTTGTAGGCACCACTTTTCCCAAAAATTTAAAAGGATAAGTGTTCATAGGAACAATAATGGCTGAGACATTTCTCTCTGGACTTTACAATGCGCGCGTTCAAACATTCGCAGGCATTTTGTAAGTACCCACTGCTGATTACCTCATGTTAAGTCAAAATTCATTCGATGTCCTATCACCTCCAAGGTTCTAAGCATCTAGGTTCTTGAGGTTGCTATGGCTACACGAAGCCAAATCCAAGAACTTGGATGAAACCAGACTAAGAACTCAATTCTGTTCACCGTCTATAACTTGTTGTTAAACAATTAAAAATTATGAGATAAGAAACCCTTCGATCAGGACCCTTAAAAATTTTCGAAGAAAACGAATAATTTTACTTTATTAATTGAAATATCCACCTTCAGAAATGATGATTTCTTTAAATAATTTAATTCTAATGGATGATTTTTATCTAAAGGGTCCTACTTTTGTCTGGACGATCGCCCCATATGTGGCCTTATGAAGAGGGAGTCTAAACGCGCGCATTTGATTGGTTCAGACGGCTTCTTCCTCCTCCCTCACCCTCCCCCACCCACCTATGGAGTTGGCATGAGGGGTATGCGTATACATATATATGTATATACATAAGGCCAAGTCCAAGTCATTCAACGACTAACAACCTCTCCACCCCTATTCAGTAGTTCTGCAGCAAGACATGAACAAGTAAGTTCTCACTATCCTGCACTTTTGCATCCCAAAGTTTCTCATTTTTCTTCGGTTATTTCACACATCACTTGAAAATTGGTTGCTTATATAGTTTTAAGAGTTCAGCTGAATACTTGAGAAATAATTTCTTAGATTTATTTGACTTTAAACCTGCATCAAGGTGATATTGCAGCTGGAGGCTGTTTCGTGTCATTCGTCAACACAGCCGAGGTGGAGGCCCCTTTGATAACCGCTGATAAGCTCAGTTAATTTAGCGACTTCACCACACCACAAAATGACTACCTTATAGTCCTGATTGCATCATCAACCTATTTTCCTTTATAAGAAAGGCAGGCAAACCAGACTAAATTCGTTTTGATCACATCCTTGTTAACTTACTTTAATGAGGATACTCGGAGTCGAAGGGAATCTAAATGTTCACGTCTGGAGGATGCATTAAACCAGTCATGTCATGGAGTCGGGGAGAAAGGCGTAGCTTGCGAGAGTTGGTTTTTCTTCTCTACGTAGTTTTAAAAAGGATTAATTAAGCACAGGCCAAACTCTTCTGAGTCGCAAGTCCTCCAACTCTACCAAAAGTACCGCAAGCTATTACACAAGCTGCCAATTGGTTCGTGTAAGCCCAGTGATATATTCAGGAGAAAGTTTGTGAGGCTCCTTTGTTTCGTAATTATTGAAAATTGCAAGTCTGCTCTTCAAACAGGCTAAATCACTTATTTAAGACACTAACGATAATTCACAAATTCGCTTCTGTAACCCTCTGAGGACAACCGCTTTTCATTTGCATTAGGCGTTCCGAGTGATCTTCTCCAACATATTCGTTAACTTACAACCTGATTTACTTTCTTCGCAGGGAAGTAGAGTGGGGGAGATTTTTAGCTGAACAGCCTCATCACTACCAGTTAAATTAGCGGAATGTTTACATGAGAGAGTGAGCAGGACATGGAGGATTAAAACAAAAAGCCAGCTAAAGTGTTACTTTAGGCCATTTTCAGTCTATCTTTAATTACTGAACTTAACTTTACTTAGCACTATATATCTTTTAGCCAGTCTGGAATAGAACTTTCCTAAGTTCTTTCATTCACATATAAATATTTAAGATTTTTTTAAGTATAAGAGGTATAAGTAATACGTTATTGCGCATTTATCATCAGTTATAATACTAATCAATGAAAGATGCATTGTTTTTGGGGTTGCCGCTTCTTGGCCGCCACATATAGTTAAAATACTTTTGGGTCCATGAACTGATGAGGGTTGAATCGAGCTAATGGGAGCGAAATTATCAACACTCGAGAATATTTTCTCTTGTATAAAAGGTGGACGACTCTAGCTCTTGTCGGTGTGTTGATGATCTGCCTTGCTACAATACCAAGCAGTCAGGCATCTTCGTTGGGAGGTCACGGATCCAGAGGGGGCGTCTCCGACACGACCGCGGATGGCTTATCAACGCTTGAATTCGAGGCTCTGCTGCAGGACTACCTCGATCAGATGCGGGATATGAAGGAGCTGATTCAGCGCTACCTCGCCTCCGTCCCATATAGTCTCAGCAAACGTGCACAATTTCTCCGATTAGGACGCAAGTGAGGCGGAGTAAGGAGGACGGCACAGAGCGCCAGTGGTCATTCATGCGGTCACATTAACTTTGTGTGCTTTCTTCGCATTAAACAATACATTTTAATTCATCTATTCGTGTAGCCTATTCTACTGTCAGTAAACACGTCTAATATGGCGTAGGATTTTCAGCAGATTCACCTCCATTAAAATTAAATTAATCATTGGGGTCTGTGCAGATTTCCTAATGTATAAAAAGAGCCTTTTTGTGATCTTTAGAGAGAGACATAACTGAACAACTTTAGTCTTTGAGGTGAAGTAGAAATGGGGAGTGCTAACTGCCGAATCCTTTTAAAATCACTCATTAAATGTATACTTAAATCACTTTAGGAACTTCACTTTAGTGAAATGATTAATTGTTAAGCATTAATTAATGTTTTGTGTCAGATAAAAAGGTTGAGAATTGCCCATGTTCGAATTGGGCAAAATTGCGTGATGGGTGTTCATTTGTGCTATTTACTTAGCGCACTTAATAAAATAAACGAACAAGGAAATTCAAAAGGAGGTTTTTTATGCCGAAAAATTTGGTAAAATTCAGTTTTAATCGAAGACTTAACCCGTTTTTCCAGTCTAGCTTTTTAAGGGACTGATTTAAGCGGGGTTGTGAGACATAAGCGGATGACAACGCATGCTTTTGGCATTTAATTTCCTTATGATTTAAGGCACTTAAACAATGCTATCAGGGAAGATGACCCGAAGATGAGAGCTGTGTGGACTTGAACTTTGCTTAAAGCTACGGTCACGCGTTGTTTAAAGAGCATCAATTATCCTGACTCCGTCCAAAGCATGAAGGGCTCTGTGTGGAGGACGTATTACGTCGGGCCCTCCTTAAAAATGGCTGGTAGGCGGACTGTCTACAGGGAAGGGATCGCTCGCTTAACGTTGGCTGAAAAACCGAAGGCCATTTGTTGAAACATTTGCATGGCTCTCACCGCAAACTTTGTCATTTAAAACGGACACCAACGAGTGGTCTCATCACTCCAACTTGTTGGGGCAGGAAGTCCTTCCTGTCAAGTTAACCTCAGGAAGGCGAACAGAGGGTGGGGCTGAACGCGATAAGTCTCCTCTTGAGTGGTCAGTTGCCAGAGTCCACGTATTGGAACCACTTCGGGGTGGTGGCCTCCTTTGGCGTACACGACGCCTCTTCCAAGCTGGCGGGAGAAGGTTGTGCGGTTCATAAAGCCGTCGTTTGATAACCACAGAGGGCTTGAGAGCTCAAATGAGGGTGGAAAGTAGTAGCAGAGGGAGCAGCGAGCTACTTAAAAATCCCGGAGATTTTAATGGTCACTTGATAGCTGCCAAGTAATTTTCGGAGTTGGCATTTGCCACTTCTTTGCTCTTCCCCACGAGATTTGGTCAATTTTTGCAGAAACGAGGAGAAAGTGGTGGATATTTCAAAATGTAGATAGGCTTTTTAAAAATTTTAGAATTTAAACTCTATGAGAACTAAATTTAATTTAAATTTTTTGTTATTTTCATTTGGAATGCTGAAAAAAAATGTATTTCCGGTCACAAGGGGGGAGGGGTCCAGTGAAATACCTTTTCTACTTGAAGTCTTCAGGCATGGCGATTGTTAATGGCCCGAAAACAATGATTGTGTGAATTTTGGAGCAAAAATTTATTTCAAAGGTGGTATTTCTTGCAACGAAATCTCGGTGCCGATAAAACAGAATTTCCATTAATATTTTTCATAAATATTCTTCCGTCCCCACATTTTCTTTTCCTTTTCATTATTTCTTAGACCTTTGCATTGAGGCGGTTGGTTCGAGGAAGGCATTTCATAATGGGCGCATCGAAAAATCGGTTGGTGGGGTCCGGACGCTTTCCACACAGGAGGTACATTCAAACAAATGCGCACCTGGAGCCTCTTATTCAACACTTCGCTTTGTAATTTGTCTTAAACCGATTAAACATGTTTAGGGGAAAAATGCAGGGATTTAACTAATGAAATATTCTATAATAAAATTTCACAATGTTTTCTTAGTTTACATCCATTTCAAACACATCCACTTCGTATCCATCCATTAAACGATCTATGTCATCACCATCGCTCCTGTATTAAACATCCATGCATCCCATATCCCATTTATCTACCCATCCATCCATTCATCCTGCTCTGCCTTTCTACCATAGCCTTTTATTCCAATTCAGATTTGTAAGACTGCCATCCTCAGATCACGTCCATCAGATTTAGTATAGACTGCATTAGAAGTGAGGCTTCCAAATACGAGGAAAGTAGTAGTCATTGCATTGACTGATGCATGACTTATAGTAATTAGTCGTTAAAATTGAGCTTTTCGGAAGCTGCACGTTCTGTCTTGGACACCTGGTGATAGAATCTTTTTCAAAGTCAGAAGAACCACAAATTTTTTGAAGCTTACCTCCAATGACGTCCCATTTTATATCGTCCAAAGTCATTGAATTACCGATTACTGGGATCAACCCAGACGAATTTGTTTGGTTCTTTGGGGTGTAAAATTCTAACATATGACAGACATTTAGGGCTCCAAATGTAGTTTTTTAATCCCTCCAAAGGTAGGAACTTTCAGCTAATACATTGACTAATTTTTTGTGTACGAATGGAGTGGCTCGCCTGCTAGCTTTATTCAATTCCTTCAAAAAACACCTATCCGTGTACGTATAGATCTTGAACAACTTGGAGGTCAGTGAAGGGCCTACAACTCTTCCACCCTCATTTATACAGATAACAGCTGCCATTAGAGATGCTATGGAGGAAATACTTATAATAGCAAAGTGAAACAACTAGAATGCTCTAAACTGAGCCGCCAGTCGTTATAACTTGGAATCCATCCATCCCGCATCCATTCGCTTAGCCGTCCAGCCAGCAATTCTTCCATCCATCCATTCATCCCTCTCTGCCCTTACCACAACTTTTAAATCCAATTCAGATTTATAAGGATGTCTTCCTCGGATCACATCCATCGGATTCAACAAAACTTTAACAGAAGAACTGTTTCAAATGCGAGAAAAGTGGCATTGAACAGAGTGAAGTTTGTTACGCCAACAGGCAATAATGGCCAAAATCCCATCGATCGCCTAATCCGATAATCGATAGCTAAATACTGCAGAACAGATGCCCTTATCGATTGAGGTGAATGAGTCAGCAAAGGAGATCGCGGTGAGTGCGTACGCGCCTCATAGCTAGAGTGCGGAGGTGGACAAAAGCCACAGTTACGCGTAGCCATGGTAACTGATTGGCCTTGGTCTTCAAACAAGCATCAGTACACTTAGAGTGCATTTCACCTTCACGATGAGCCAATCAGGAGGGGATGAGTGAGAGCATGACTCTAGGTTTAGTGGTTGGTCATGGATCTAGGATTTCAGACATCCTTAGCCTAAAAGGAATGAACGTCGGTTGATCTCATCCCTTTTATACATAAGACTCCGCCAGGATAAGATTGTTGGTTTCTTTCGGTTAATTTGGACTACAATTTCGTGCGCGAATTCACAAGGGCGCTTTTTATTTGACCCTTAGGTTATGCTCTATTGGAATAGGTTCTTCCAAATCGTCTTGGTGAGTCTCCTGAAGGCCTCAATCTACCCCACCCTCGATGACGAAGGCGGTTCTAGCTAATACCTTGTTACCCCCTAATTTTACCCTCTTTTGCTTACACTTGAGCTCAACCGTCTATCTGAAGAATTGTAAGTAAAGTCTCTCACTAAGATAGTGGGAAATTCAAGGTAAAACTAACCTTCTAAGTTTATAGCCTTTCATTTCCGTCGTGTAAATCAAATTGGCATACTGACATAGGATGTAAAAGTGGGATTCCAGATCCATTTTTCTTATTCGCGCCTCAGTGAGTTTATAGGTGATCGGACGTATCCAATTGCGCGCCTTTGGACCGTCAAAATTTGTGCCATCTCTGGATAATTGACCTTATCGACTTCTGGGTATCATGACCTTGCACAGTTTACAACTACTTAGATCGCCACCATGGTGACAAGATCCTATGTCCAGTCTTATAGCCACCTAGCCCCTATATTCTCATCCAAATGAATGAAAAATCTGAACTTGATATTTGAATATTGAACTCAAGCGCCAAAGAAGAAGGCATTTGCTGCAAAAAGACTCACAACACAAAAGGCATTGAAACCCAGGCGAATATTGACGATCCCTCCATTCTCTTGTTGTGTAAAAAGGCTGGTGAAAACTTGGATTTTTCAAAAAGCCTCGCCTAGCGCTCTAATTTCTTTGACGAAATGATTCCTTTTTCATGGTCCCATTAGTTGGATGGAACCTAATTCGACAACTAGGTAGGATTATAATGATATTAGGATGGCACAGAGCAGTGGATATGGCACCGCTCCAAAACTCAGCTGATAAGGTGGACGTAGATCCCAAGTCATCGAAATCCTCTGATTGCATCACTGACGCTGGACCTGGAAACGTTCTTGCCCTCTCGAAAACCGAGGGAAGAACCTTGTGCATACCTCGTGGCCGATCTTCAAGGCACAGGTCGGGTTTGTATCACCCGGAAAATCACAAGGAGCAGGGAGCTGCAATACGTTCTGAACTGTCAGTTTATCTACGTGATTTATCCGATCCCTGTGGCGCTAGTGATGTCATGACGTACCACGTCATTTCATTGATACATATCATCTGACAAAGACACAAACAAATTTATCCTGATTCTGATTGATGTGAATAAGCCCCAAGGCGACATTGCAGATGGAGGGTATGGCGACAGGCAAAACTTTTGATTGGCACATCTCGGTCCTTCCAAATTTTCACCCAGGATCTCGCTTCAAGAATGATGCACATTAGCTGTACTGACACCCATGTGGTATATTAAGCAAGAGAGAGAACTCTGTGGCTCACACATGTGACACGTAAGACCCTCCTGATTGGTGTTGCATGTTTGTGCTTCCATGTGGGTGCTAGTGTGCTTAAGCTACAAATCACCGAGTCCAATGAGTGGAATATGCGAGTGTGTGTGCTGTAGAGGCTCATTTCATCAACATGGCGTTTTTCAAACGTGTGAATTTCAGTTCATTCAAAGGATCCAATAGCAAAGCTGAACCGGACAAACAGACCAACCTCAGTAAGTCCTCAGGCCCGCATCCCCCCCTCTGTTCTTTGTTTTTTTCCACACTTTTGTATGCTCCAAGAGTTGGAGGTTATGTTTGGTATATTTTGGAGGCTTACGAAGTGTGTGGAGTTACCATCCAGATTCTGAAGCACCTTTTCACAAAGATTAAGTCCACTCAACTCTTGCCAACCACTATGTTGATATATGGTAAAGATGCCAAGTTACTTTGAAAGGGTAGACTACTGGTGGTATCAAAGCGCAGTCTTGTCAATATCAATGACGACCTCCTGACATGCAATGAACACTTAATTGATGTCGTCCTGGCGATGTGCCACATCAAATGAATGACACTCTCTCTTCTGGATGATCAGGTCCATAAGCAAAGCGTACGGCTAAGGTCCGGTGCTCTGGAATTCCAGCAAAATCCACAAATATTCCTTTAACCGTACTATGCTTGACCTAAGAAGAAAACTGTCTTACTGTGAAAGGGTGAGATTGAAGGAGTAGCGTCAAACCTTCGCAAGAGCTTTACATCTGTAACTGGTACCATAGGGGTCACCTTATCCAACTACATTAAGGTAATTACCCCCTGGGCACCCTAATCCCACCAGAGGTGCTTCAAAAGCGGATCGCCGAGCACGAGAGTGAACAATCCTTTGAGGCACTTCGCCGCAAAGTCGAGAAGGAGGATGAAGAATGGCGACGCAAGGAGGAGATGGAGCGTCTCATTGCGGAGCGTCGAGGATGTCTTCAAGATCATGGAGTTGACCATCAATTAGGAATTCTCAATTTCCAACTCATGTACGTGCCGTTTGTGCTTTTGTAATGATGAAAAGAGGGTAAGTAGGAGTCCTGAGAGCTCGGCATTACCCAGAGCCGATGATTAACACTTAGAGCTTTAAAGGCATCATGTAAGATGAGGATAGAAATGAAGCTGTATCTCTCACCCCTCCTCTTTCCCTTTTTTTTCCTCCAGCCTTCACAGATCAGACAATTTTTACATGGGTTGGTTTTCTCCTATGGGGTCTTAGGTTACACCTTTCGGCTGGCGCTCTCGTTCTGACTCCTTCTAAGGGAATAGTTTTGCTGATCCTATTCAATCTGTATCATAAAAAGTATCTCATTCTAACCCTTTCCTCCTGTAGTTAAGCCCACGTAAGTAAAGCAAGAGCAGTCTTGCAGTGATAAGTCGAGAGCTGCCTTGATAGTGCGCGACCTTGAGGGGTGACCAATAAAGTGATCCGTCAAAGCCACTTCTCATGCTGTGTCAGTCAGTTAGTCAGCCAACAATTCTTCACCAAGACCACACCTTAAAGCAGTAAAGATGTTCTTCAAAGCCTATCGTCATGTTTTAATACATGTACCAAACTTCTCACCACAGATAAAATAATTCGCCAATCACGAAGGTATTTATAGGTGATGCATGAATCCTAGGTAATTCTCCATAGAGGATCAACCTGAGCATGATGCATCTGCTCCAGATGGATTAGTCACCAGAACCACTCTCAGGCAGTACTTTAAATTTATGAAGTAGAAAAGTGCAAACCACATCTATCAGATTCCACCGAAGGCTCAAGGTAGGAGGAAGAAAAAAGCAAAGGGCACAATGAGGTGTAAGGCACCGATGGACCGAGTGAAATGGTTTTTTTTGCAAAAAAATATGGCTCCATATCTTAAGCTTTCAGTGAAGTCGTAATTTTTTGTTTATTCAGTTATGACGTTAATCGCGAGGCCTTGAGAGTGACCTTGTTGGGAGCCAATCACCTGCGTCCACGGGATCCTCTTGAGGTGACGTTGAATGCACGAGTTGCCGTGACTGTGGAGAGCAGTGGAAGCAATAAACAAGTGATCCGACCACAGCCAAAGTTGAGTATGCTAAATAAGCTCAACTCCAACCGTAATATGATCTACCGTCCAAATGGGGATCACAGGGTCCCTGGGAAAACACACACCGCTGATGCTTCCTCTTCCTCAATCTACTGGAGAACTCGCAAACCTGTGTGGAATGAAAATTTCGTCTTTACTGTATGTGGTTTTTTCCTTTTCTCAATAATAACTAGGTAAAGTGTGCAGGTTTGTACGATCTCTCTTAGTGTCACATTTATGTGACATGTGTTTCTTATCTACTCATGGTAAGTGATTGCATCAGAAGGTGTTACGAACAGATAAATGAAGTTTAAAACACCAAATCAGGTGTAAAAATCCTCTCCATCCGAGAAAAATTGTGCATTTTTCGGTCCTATGAACAGCATAACCTCCAATAAAAGGTTTCTTGATTTTCCTCAGAGAGCCTGGTGGTGAAGGCCTTAATCGTAAATTCTCTGGTGAGAGAGGATGATCATTGCATTACATCCATAAAATGTAACAGAAGTGATTGTTATGGAATTGGTTCGGTGTGACTTGGAGGAACATACGATAATTAGGCGAGAGAGGGTGGTACTGCCTCGTCCCTGCTCTAACCCTGGATGCTATTCCGCCAAACACTGGGGTATACTTATCACCTCTTCTTGCACCAGAGTAATAAAAAGTCATATGACTACTTGTAAAATGGGCATTAGGAAGGTGAGAAACAAGAGGCAAAAGTTTTAGGATTTTGCTTCTGGCTTCCAGAGGTAGAGTTCTAATAGGGATGGAATTCACGGGGCAGTGTTATTTTGGACTTTTGTAAGGTCACTTATTTCAATGAATGACGTTGAAAATGGCCGAGATTAAGCTTCATACCGGTGTAAAAGTTTCCCCAAAGAGAGTTCCAAAAATTCTATCCTCATTTTCAACGACACAGTAACTCAAAATCCCTTTTTGAAAAAAGTGGACTTAAAGTTTCATCTTAGTAGATGATAATAATTTTGCAGAAAATCTCTTATTTTTTACGTAGGGGATTCAAAATCGACAACTAAAACACCTGGAGGTGGTTTTCAAGGTGTTTGAGCGTTATCCCACCAAACCTCCAGAAGCACCGAGGGAGGACTTCATTGGAGAAGTGAGGATTCCGTTGGTTAAACTCCACAAAAAATTAACCGGTAGTAGTAATAAAATGGGTAAGTTGGATGATAACAATTCCAAAATCTATGACGTTTTTCTGGCAGCTTTAGTGGTAAAACTGGGCCCCTTAAGGATGGCCGAAAAAGGGTATTGAGAGAGTGACGCCCTATGCGTGACTGACCACCAAATAATTAGTTTTTTGGGCCTGTATTTAATGCCATCGCAGATGCTGTCCATGATTTTGCACTTCTTAGGGTGCTAGATTTTTAAAAATGTGGAAAAATTATTTAATGGGTTTGTTTTAGTGGTGGGATAGGATGTAGGTCCCTAGAATAGCCGAAAAGCGAAGTTTGGTGGGATGGAAACTGATGGGTCGCACCCATTTGTTGGTGACTTTCAAACCAAATATCTATGGAAATGGATCAAATCAAATGAGCTAGAGTGACAGATCATATGGGGGGAAGGCAGGTGCTTTCAACAACCTTGCAAAGATTGGGACCTCTAGTTTCTCTGCCCCATGATGTTGTAACGAGAACACAGTCCTTCTGCTACGAAACGCATGAGTGGATTTTTATCTAATCAAACCGTTGGTATTTGGCAATTGCCGCAGGTCACACTTTCACCCTCCTGCACGGCCACCGGAGCAGGCTGGTAGTAGTCCAGTCCTTCTGTACGTTAGTTAGTAGTATGTTCAGTCATAATACTTTGACTTATTATGAATTAACTGCAGAAATTTGACCTCGTATTCAATCGTGTGTGTATAAATAAGCAGTCACTTCTGTCGCCGCAGGTCATAATTCCCTTCTGCGTCTCATAGTCTTCCATCACTTCCATAGGTTAGTAAGTAGTATGTTTGGATGTCTTGCCTTGGTTTATTATGAATCGTCCGTAGGAATCTGACCTTTTGTTTGACTGTGCGTATTTGTTTACGCGGTCACTTCAGTCGCTGCAGGTCACACTTCCGCTCTGTAGCATGACCTTTGGACCAGGTTGGTAGTTTGCCACGTCCTCTGTAGGTTAATAAGTAGTACGTTCGGCCGTACTACATTGGGTTATTACGAATGCAAAAAGGAAACTTTTTGGAGATCTCATCACTCGCTGGAAATTGAAAAACCTGCCTTTAAATCCATTTAAGCCCGCACAATTTTTCGGTATACTGCTTCTGGCTCCATAGCCTCATTCCTTTTACCGTCTTGCGGAAGTACATAATTCATAATCATTTGCTCATAAAAGGTGAAATTAAGCAGGATAGGAGGTATTTGGGCAAGTTCACTTTCTCCATATTAATGCAGTGAAGCTGACTGAGAGTCGCCTCACTAGTGTGTGGAGTTGAATCACAATGCGCACCGTCTAACCACATCCTGGCGCCTGGGAAGAGTGTAGTGTGTTCTTAATCACCCAACATGTGACTTATGTAAGGCCTAAGAATATTCTATAAACTCTCCAAATTTATTTTATAAAGTAGTACCCGAAAAGCCACTACGACGTCTGAAAGTTACAGGTGTTCAAGAGCCTGAAGGCAACACAGACCAACAGAATGGAGAGGAGGAGGAGCAAAGAGTGGAGATTGAATTGCCACGAGAAAAGCCTTTGGCAGAGAAGGAGGCCGTAGCTAGATGGCTTGAAGGCACGATTTCTCCGATACCTGGACAAGATGCAGAGATGGAAGAATTGGTGAGTTTCCCTCTTCTTCAACAAATATCTCACTCACTAGGATTGATTCTACCACTCGCAAACTACTTAACGAGGTCTTTCACTCCCTATGAGTAAAAATTGGTACATTTTAAACACCTCCACATTTTCATCGCTTTAAAGCCAAATAGACGGTGGTGTTGGTGTTTGAAGAAGAGACAGAATTTCGGCATCGCTGTAAAGAGTCCAGTACTCTAAAAACTTTGGGGAAGAAACTGGTCGGCCAATTTCGCTCCAGTCAGGACATGCGTTTATCTAGGAAGTTTCAGGTCCTAACTTCACTTTAGCCCACTTCCAAACCCCTGATTTACTGCTAGCTCACGGATTTCCAGGGCAATTTGTAATTTTGAAGAACTGAAAAAAGATTTCTGAATATGTGACTTTAAGATAAGTTCATCACCAGAAATGCTTCAAAAAGGGCAAAGACAGGCGATTTGGGAGGGAATAATAATCCCTCGGGACCTCAAGAATTAGATTGCTTATATGTCTTTTGATGAGATAGCAGTCGACAGAATTTTTTGTCCGTTCACTTTGTGGCAAAACTTCCCAGTTCCAGGGTCAGAGAACCTAGAGCTGACCACCTCCATCTGCATATTACGACAGTTCTATTTTCCACCCCCCTAATGTCTGTTTCAAGTGGTTGTCCAAACTGAGTGTTAAGAAAGGGTGATGAATATCACTTGGAGCTCGGAGAAATGCCATCGGAGGAAATACAGGGAACTTGAGTGAGCGAAAAGTACATCTTCTCAAAGCTAGAGTTACACCGAGATGCTTCGTACTGAGGAGGCGGACTGCAGTAGAATCCATTCAATGTGGATTTACTGATAGCCGCGCCACAATTGCTCTGAGATCTACTACGCACACCCACACTCACAAAAAATTATACTCAGGTGTTAAGGACCCAACACTTTAATTCCTGGAAGCCTATCTATGGAAATGCCGGGTAGCCGAAAACTTCAAAAGATTTTCAGTATGGTTCACAGAGCTGACTGGGTGTAATTCGTGGGAGGGACCGGTGTAATGGAAGGCAAGCATGATAAAACATGGAGAGAAATGGGTGGGGCATTGCGCTACTCCTGATTGTCCTCGGTCCTATTTTCCTCATGTCTTTCACCCACATTTCATTAACTGTCGGTTGAATTGCGTAAGTGAATTGCATATCCGTCTGCCTTACCCACCGACTTTACAACGCTTCTAAAGCTGCATCCCAGCAAGTACATGACGGTAGTAGAAAGCACCATCCATAAATGCCCTCAACCAGACGGTTGAATCTGGGTGGCGAATAGCTTCAAGGTAGATGTATCACTTTCAGGTGAACCCTCCCCTCTTGAGTATGGTTCACCCTCCGTGTTCCTTCGATGATATTTCTCCCAGCTCCACCTTTTAGCCATCCACTTGGTACAGGTGGGCAAAAAAGTGCAAATAACAACTAGGCCGGTTAGTTAGTAGGTAGGTAGTCGGGCAGAAACAGGTGTGGCTATAACTAAACTTTTTTTTGGCTTCTGAAGGGCTAAGCCTGCTTCTCAAATGCAGTTCTTGCAGGAGGTTGTGATTTTCTTGTTGAGATATAACGTTCGATTGTATCGATGACAACTTCAGAGAGGGAAGCCGTTCGGTGAAGCTTTCTCTGATTGAACTTTTATCACCAAAGACTGCACTAACTTTTCCAGATGCCTCTCTACCTCTCTAGTATCGTGACCTTAAGGGAAAAAAACCCAAACTTCTTGCTTCAAAACACATAAAATCGTTAATTGCTGACTTCTAACCACAATTGATAAGTTAAGTAAACCCGCTCTAAGCAAAGGAGGGAAAAGGACTGTGATTTACTTTTCCCCACAACTACATAATGGTAGACAAAATTGAATTCCTTAGCAAGTCCATTTCGTGTTTCCTTTTGTTCATTTTGTGACTACAAAAAGAGCGGCTAAAAGACCAGTACAATGGAAAGATTACTAACTGCTAGATCCCGTTTTTATTGTTTATGCCTTTGTTAGGCAAAATTAGGCGTGTTTAAGTCAAAACGGGACCGAGAGATTAACCAATTTTGGGGGAATGATTTAATGAGTAGGCAGGCTTTCACTGCTAACACAATGTTTAAACAATATCGCCAACATCTCTGAGGTGAACGCCGGGTTTTTCGTTGCCACAGAAGAAAGAAATCCGCCTTGTACATAATTTGGTCACACGAAATTTTGCTCATCAAGCGGCCAAGATCTGACAGACAGGTGGCCTGATCATAGGCGTGCGGACGGATTAAAACTGTTTCTCTTCAAAATTCTAAGAGTTTAGAAGGTTCCTCAAACGTACCGTACTGTACCCAAAGTCCTCCAAAGCCGCATTACCTGCCACATTGTTGCATGCACACTACCACTGATGCCCGCTGTCATCAGAGAATAACGGCCCATGACATGTGACAAAGGATTTCTCTATGCTTTCTAGCAATCTATATGCAATAGCGAGGCTGTTCGTGAAGAACTGCAAGATCCAGAGCTCATGGACAGCGTCTCAGTTCGAGAACTGCGCGTAGCCAAAGCAGAAATGAAGACGCACTTGGATACTATAAGGGAGTTAGCTATACCTCCATTCATTCCAAAAGCAGTATGTTCAATTGATAACTTTTCCTTAAAGAATGCTCAAACAAGAACAATAACATTTATTACGAGAACTCCTTGCAAAATCCTCCCCCTCTAATTATTCCATTAATGCCAATTATTTAGTTATAAGTAGTATGGAGCAAGAAGTATTGAGCTTAAATCTAACATTGCATTTTCGCTGTGGAAAAAAAAAACAATTCACCAACCTCCTTACCTAAGGACACAGGTCATCTACCATACCCAGGGCCAGACGTAGCCCCTGTTATGGGCGCACAGTAATAGTCTAGGTGATTCCCCAAACCCACCCAGATTGTGGGGGACGGAAGGTCTCAAGCAGTAATAGCCAAAACGCATTTAAAAATAAATATTCTCTTTATCAACCAAAAAAGGGGAAGACGAATCAATATGCGAATTTGCAAAATGAGTATGAAGACTCGGAAACGGAGTTGCCGGAGTCCGAAAGACCTTTCATTATTCGCAGACTGGAGGGATGGCATTTCATCAATCGTGTGCCCGAGATGCGTCCCTACTATGGCACGCTGGAGATTGGGTTGAATTTCGATCCCCATCAGGGCAAGATTATAATCTCCGTAAGTTCTCCTGATCGCCGTCTGAGGCAAGACGGCTCTTCTCTTGTCCATTCCTTCAATCTTCTTTTGTGTTGATGTGAGTCGAGAGTGGCTCTTTTGGACCAGAAAGTTGGACAAATTTTTCTAAGTTCTTAGAAGGAGTGTAATCAACCGGATGACAGAAATTGCGATCTTACCACTACTGCTCCTTATTTACTTATAAGTAGTATGATTTAAAGCGACGTGGTTCGAA